CTGGGGATTGAGCCTGGAACCCAGGCATGTGCCCTGACTGGGAATCCAACTGTGACCTGCTGGTTCATGGGTTGATGCTCAACCACTGAGCTACACTGGCCAGGCAGGCTCCCTAATTTTTGAATCCTGGCTGTAGGCTTTCCTAGGCTCTTCTCCGAGCTAACATAGAATATAAGCAGGGCTTAGATTGGAGAGGTGGAGCCTGGATTTTAGGTAGAGCTGAGAATGGAGGACCTAGACTAGGTCTGAGGGACCAGTGTCCAGGCTAACAACTAGCTGCTTATGAGGTGGAGCCTAAGATGGAGGAATAGGGCTTTGGCTGTGGAGTGGGGCTTAGACTTATTGCAGGGACACAGTTAAAGAAGTCTGGCCCCACTAGTACCAGGAGGTCACGGTTCAAGTCCCAGTCAGGGCACATGCCTGGCTTGTGGACTCCATCCCCAGTAGCGGGTGTGCAGGCGGCAGCTAATCAATGATTTTCATCATTGATGTTTCTCTTCCTCTCCCTTCCTTTCTCTGAAATCAATAAAAAAATATTAAAAAAAGAAAAAAGTCTTCATACATACTATATACTTTAGGGTGGTGTTTAAGGTTTGGGGCTTAGACTTCGGGTGTGGGACCTAGAATTCAGGTGCTTTGCTTAGATAAGGCTGGGATTTTTGCTTTGGAGTGGAGCCTTAGAGATGGGCTTGGGGATTGGGGGTAGATTGGTCTAGGGCAGGAATTAGGGCCCTAGGGAAATAATCACACTATCTACTTCTACCCCTCACCCTCTTTTTCAGGCCAACTCATACCCCCTTGACCTTAAGGGTACATCCTAGCCACTGGCTTATACCCCTTCCCTTCTAATGACCTCAGGCTAAGACAGTGATGGTGAACCTATGACGCGTGTGTCAGAGGTGACACAAGAACTCATTTTTTGGTTGATTTTTCTTCGTTAAATGGCATTTAAATATATAAAATAAATATCAAAAATATAAGTCTTTGTTTTATTATGGTTGCAAATATAAAAAAGATTCTATATGTGACACGGCACCAGAGTTAAGTTAAAGTTTTTCAAAATGCTGACACGCCGAGCTCAAAAGGTTCGCCATCACTGGGCTGGGAGAACACGTTTATTCCTGAGTGTGGTCTCTACGGTGAGTCTGTAGTGGGCCTAGTTCCCAGATCCTCTCCCAAGAGGCATTCAAGAACATCTGTTAACTGAGCACCCATTGGGGTCAATGGTAGTTTAAACACTGGAAAAAATTGGCGCCCATGCCACTTCCCTCAGAAGTCTTACTTTTCAATGACTAGACAGTAAGCAATAAACAAATAAGTAAACAAATAGGTAAACAAACAAACAGACAAGATCATTACCAAGAGTAATAAGTGTTCTGAGGGAAATCTAATGAGGTGATGTGGTAGAAGTGGTGGGACCTGTTGGGGCTATTTTTTGTTGCCTCTTTAGTCTCTAGAAGAGTCCTCCTGCCTTTGTCCCCCTCCTAACATTATTTTGAAACATTTCAAACACGCAGCAAAGTCAAAATAATTTCACAGTGAATACCCATATGCCCACCACCTGGATTCCACCGTTAACACTTTACTGCACTTGCTTTGTCACATATCCATTCATCTATCCATCCATCAACCTCTTTTATATCTATTTCAAAGTAATTTTCAGATATCAGGACCATTGGTGGGGGTGGGGGTGGGGATGTAAATTGCAGGTGGGAAAGGAGAGCCTCTCCGAAGAGATTACATTTGAATTAAGACTTGTATGAAAAGACAGAATCAGCCACGGAAGGGGAGTACCTCCAAAGACTGAAAAGTCATCACTGCGGCCGAAGACAAGAATGGTCGGATATGAGGATGAGCGCTCACAGGGCCAATTATGCCTGTGAGTGAGGTTGCCCTGCCTTTGTTTCTCATCTCTGTGTATCTGTCTCTCTTATTATCTTTCTTCTCACCCTCTCCATTTCCATCCCACGTCTGCTCTCACCCTCTTTCCCCTTCACCACCACCCTGTTCTGCCACGTACTGTGTGTGTGAGATCTTAGGCAAATGACTAAACCTCTCTAAGGCTCAGTTTTCCTCTTCTGTAAAATGGAGGTAGTGATGAAACCTCCTCATCTGGCTGCTGTGAGAGTGAATGGAGCATTAGAACCATTCCTGGTGTGAGTAGTTCTGGCCATGTATCCACTTTTGCTGTTGTGGTAAGTCTCCCACTCCTGTTTTCCCAGCCTGGACCTCCATGCCCTGGCAGGGAGCACCAGGAACCAGGGTGGGAGGTGGAATCTGGAGCTTGGTGTGTGTGGGGATTGGTTGTGAGTGGGCTCAAGGTCCACCAGAGATAGGCTCTGCAGCAGTGCCCTTGGTCCGAGGAGCAGGGCAGGCTTCCTGTGATGACCTGGAAAGGAAGACTTTAGGGAAGGGGGCTTGGGGTGGGACCTTGATACAGTGGGATCCAAAATGAAAAGTGCTCGGGCCTCCAGGGATCTGGGGGGTGGCAATAAGACAGACTTTGAGGTGAGGCCTTGCTGGGTTTGGGGGCACAGCGAATATCTCAGAAAGAGGTGAAGAGTGGCCTGAGATACTCGGTAGGGTTTCGGAGAGGGGCCGATGGTCATTGGGTAGGAGTTGGACGAAGGGGTCTGAACAAGGAAGGGCAAGAAATCCTGGGCGACACTGAAGTCACAGAGAAGGGGAAGGCTCTGTGAGAGAGAGAGAATAGGAGCAGGGAGGAGGCAGGGTCTGCATGAGGATAGGACCGGTGGAGAGGATGGGAAAGAATCTGGGGCAAACCAGAGGTTCTGGAAACCAAGGAGTGCCTTGCGGGGGAGGATGGTCTGGGTCTAATGCGGGAAATGGGGAAAGCTTACAGTCCCCATGGGGACAAGAGACATATTTGAGCCCTCTAGAACTTAGACATAGTTGGGAATCCCTATTGGGGGTTAGGGAATGGTTTGAGGTCCTAGAGTGGAGGATGTGGCTGGGGGTCCCCAAGGAATGGAATGTGGTTTGTGGTCGTGGGTGGCTGTAGAACATGGGCTGGGTCCCCAACAAGAGTAAGGCATGATCTGGGGTTTCCCTGGATTTTGACATATGACTTGGGGTCTCTGAGGGAGGGAGTGTGGATCCACCTGAATGTTGGGGTATGATCTGGTGTCCCTAATAGGGGTGGTTTGGATCCCTGAGATTCTGGAACCTATGGCCTGGGGTCTTTGATGGGGTGTGAGGAGAGTCTGAGGTCACCAAGGAGAGTAGGACGTGGTTTGTGGTCCCGGGTGGCTGTAGAACATGTTCTGGGTCCTCAAAGGAGGTAAGGCATGGTCCGAGGCCCCCCTGGGTGTTGGGACCTGATCCGAGATCTCTGTTTAGAAATCCGGGATCCCAAGCCAGTCGGGGCGTGGTC